TTTACTGATAAGATGCGCGTTAAATATCGCATGCGATTAATCGTGCAGCCCTAATATATATATATATATATATAATATTAAGCAACCCTTTTCAACATTGTTAATAATAAATATTTTTTTCTTGAGCACCAAATCAGCATATTAAAATATTTCTGATCAAATAAATGCAGCCTTGGTGAGAAGACTTCTTTCAAAAAATGTAAATCATGTTACCGGTCCCAACCCAATCTTTTGAACAGTAGAGTAGATGTTAAACACATCATGCCTACATGTGATTCTTTGATTATTTGCTTTGCTAGAACGACAGACTGGCAAGACATAATTACAGCAAAGCCTGAATGCTTCAGTGCCTTGTCTTTTAAAAAATAAATTATTAAAATAAATAAATACATCTATTAAAACAGTGCTTCTTTGAAGAACGCCACATTCAAGCTCAAGAAAGTCTGTCAGTTTTCTTGCTGACATTGCGCATAAGTCCTCTGTCATGGGAGTAAACTAGATACTTGAGCTTTGACAACAGCATAAGAGCTGACACGCAGGCAGACAATCAAGATAATGGCTCAGTATGCAAATGCAGCTGTATTAAAACATGGCACAGAAATAATGCAATCAGGGTTTAAAAATGTCAAGGTGTCCAGGTAACATGACCCAGACTGTGTCCTTGTTGCAGTGTAATCACACAAATCCATACTGCATGATATTAATTAACAACTTATACACACACAACAGGTTTAATGTAAGGGTTTGGATTAGTGTTTGCTGACGAAAATAAATACATGTTTTTGGTAAAGTTGTTATCTTTTTTAATACATTTTAGTCTCGTCTTATTTCGTCAACGAAATTGCATGTTGATATAGTCTTAGTTATCGTTTATTGACCTTATTATCGTCTGGTCTTAGTCATGGGGAAAAAGCTAGTCAACGAACATTTTTCGTCATAGTCTTCGTTAACGAAATTAACACTAATAGTTATGATGACTTTAGTTTGTGCAGTGTCATGGTTGCAGTGGATGAAGTGAGCAATGGATCTCTCCAGTATTAACAAGGCCTGCTTTGTGAAGGTCCAGTCTCCTGTCCCAGAGGCCACTCCTGGGGAACAACAGGCCTCTTTCAAGGCACTGGTAAAACAGGCATTGCTCCGCACGTGAAGTAGAGCACATGCAAAACGCCCAGAGCCATAGAAGCACAATGTGATATCATTCTGAGTTCTCAATGACCTGTATCATGGCAGTTCATCTCGCACTGTCATGCTCATTCAAATATGAGAAGCATGTGGATTTTGAATGCAAGGAAGAAAAAAAAGTTGTAGGTTTTAAAAACAAAAGCAATCTGATCTTGCCAAATCAAAATCACAATTTCCTGAGAAAGATTTTTTTTTATCTAAAAGAAATTGACAAAAAAAAAGTAACATGACAACAAGGGAAGAAACTATGTAAATCTTAAAAGTCAACGCTTTGCAAATCTCTGTTGTGAAAAAAAAAATGATGACAGAATAATCCCATGTTTGATAGGCCAAGGAAAAGCAAAAATGTTTCACTCTAAATGCAGAGCATTCTACGAATTTATTGACAAACGGTGTCTCTTGAAACTGTTGAGCTCCTCAACCTGATATTTGACAAGTACAACACAACCAAAAACACAAGACATACTGCCCTAGTAAAACACTTTAAATCAGGCCATTTTTCTGTAAGCTACAATTCATTTTGAATGGTACTGAAAAGCCATTGTTGAGAGTATAACCGAAAGCAGACAGTAATTTGACATGAATGGGTTATAATTTAAGAGAGGCGTCTTCAGTAACACTGCTGTGTTGAATGCCTGCTTGACCAAAATGTACTACAAAGGCCAGACAATGAGGTAGGTACAATTCACTACCTATAAACCTTAATTAAGGGTCAGTCAACACAATTACAGCAGGCATCTCAAAGCCAAACTGGCTAATTTGAGGTATTTTGCCTCTTTCCCTTTAAGGGAGACACTCATATTAGCTAACTGCCTAAACCCTCTAGTGTTCTACCACTGTGGCATCTGAGTGTTCTAGATTTGGGGACTTAATACTTATTAATGACCCATGCATTTCACTTTTCTAACAGATCCTTAATGACATTCCCCCTAATGAATAGTTAAGATCAGAATGGAATACTAGCTTATTACGTACTGAATACTGTGCAGAACACACTGTATATTTAGAAGCCATTATACCACGAAAAAAAAAACAGTAGTATGACTACAATGTTATCACATGACCTCATCACAATGCAGCGAGTGATTCATTATCTTGAATTTTGAGGAAAACTGTCCTAATATTTGTCACCAAAAAAACAAATTTAAAAAGTAAAATTATAATAACAATACTAAGTGGGTAAAAAATACATCAAATTGTAAATATAAGATGAGTGTATTGCATTATGCGATACAGCATTTCACACAGTAAGCTCTGTTTTAGACTGCACATTTTCCCAAGTGTAGTAGGTTAGTGGGGTATTCGAAGCACACTCAGAAAATGCCTATTATGCAATGATGTATATACTATATACTGCAGAAATAGCAAGAATGGCATGCTATTCCGAACACAGCCAATGATCTGACACAAAGCAGTGGTTCTCAATCCTGATCCTGGATGACCCCAGCACTGAACATATTGGATGTCTTCCTTTTTTAACTAATTTAATTTATATCATCAACTTCTTAGTAGAGGTCTCAAGACCTGTGTTTCAGATAAGACAGACATTTAGGATGGAGAACCACTACTTTGAGCAAACTACAAAAAAGGTCATCTTTGGATTGGTTCCAAAACGCTTCTTGTTGTGACTGTTGAGCATATCTGGATTCAAGAATGTGAACATGTGGGTGACTAGTGACAAGGACAGGGGTCCCAGTGGGTGCATTTTAACTATATACATGCATCGTTTAAATATAGGTTTTTGTCAATATACAGCTTCTTCAAGATCATATTCTTATCAGTTTTCTTATCAGATTGTATATAAAACTGTAATAATATATTTCATGTGGACCTGACATGACAACGTCATAGCATCCTAATGTCACACTGCTTACCATATGCTACATGAAACGGGCTACATTTGTATATTAAGACAGTTACAGTCGTCTTCGTTTTAAACTATGTTGTTCACTAAACTATTGTTTGCTATGACAGTCTGGTGGGCCTGAGAGAGAACTTATAATGCATTTCAGGACAAGCTAAAAGCTACATTGTGGTTGACTTTAACTCAAAACGTCACCAATTTAAAAACAATCGGGATAAAATAAAAAACAATCATATTGTTTCCAGCTCCAGCTTTCTTTTTTTCTCTAATGGGAGCGATCGTGGTGAGTGAAGATGAGAGATAAATGGCTAAACATCGACTACAGAGAACTACTAACAAAATAAAGCAAAACAACAGCAACCTCGCGGTCTTTCAAGCCCAGCAGCAGTACTTCCTCCATCAGGGTCAGTCTGGTTTCCTTGGAATCACCGCTGTCATCGTCGTCCTGCTCGTCTCCACGGCGGGGCTCGTAGTCCTCGTCGCCGGATCCGCGGTCTCGGTCTGCGGCTGCAGCGCTGCGCGAAGCCTCGGTGCGTCTTTGCACCAGGCCGGAGCTCCGCTGGGTCAAAGTACTCATCTCTCAAACACACTAGAACTAAATCTCCTTCCCAGACAACTCCTGTCTGAGAACAGACTGGCTTATTCAATCCGATGCATAAATGATTCCCGGGGTGAATAAGGGGAATGGAGGTGTAAATCGGGATTTGTTTTGGAGAGGGGCCCCTCGCGATCCCAACCGCGGAGCGTCGCTGATTCCGTCAGGTTTAATATGGCGACCAGCCGAGACGAGAACAGCAGTGGATGTGGCATCTCGACACTCTGTTTGCATAAATGCCTTTCATTGAGCCAATTGTCTAAGAACAAAAAAAAAGCTTTAAAAACGTTATCTGTTTGTAACTATTTTCCTATCTTTAATGAATGACATGTAAGTCTCAATTTGTTGTTTTTTTTTAGTTTGTAATGTATTGAACATCCCCTTTTTCTTATTTATTCTTTTTATTTTATTTTGTTGTCATTGTCTATCATTTTTATATGTTGATGGTTGTATTACTGTTTTTGAGCATTAATTAATTAACGTTACAGGGTTCCCACACCTTGGTTAACTTCAAATTCAAGGACCTTTCAAGGACTTTTCAGGTCCAATACCCTCAAATTCAAGGACTTAATCAGGGTGTCTACAGATATGAACAAGTTAGATTTAAGACTTTTTAAGACCTTTTTAATATAAAATTTAAGACCAAACCTCTGATGCAAATCACACATTATTTTAAATACGTATCATTTAATTTCTTAAATGTAATATATATATATATATATATATATATTTTGCTGTCAAACATGCTTTTTATTATTATGATATACAGCAAATTTGTCATATCAGCAGACAATATCCTATACAAAATATCCCCACAAAAGCCCCGCATGACCAAGGGCACGTCTCAACAGCTCCCTTGCTCGTGAATCAGTAGAACGTGTAGGCTACAGGAATTCGGTCACTGGTAAGTTCCCTGACTCACTGCACGCTGGGACAGTGATCATTCGAATTCCAGGGACATGATTACGTACCACGTCAACGGACAACATAGTAGAACGTCATCACTGGAATTAATAAACAACAGGCAGGACCAATCTAATTTAATATTATTTTTGATTCTCTTTAAACACATCGTTCTGTTACATGTTCTTACAACATTTCAGCCGAATATTAATTATATATGTTAATTAGATGTGTTCAATTCCTGTCTAGCGATGTGTGTTTATGTTGAAATATACTAAAAAACGGGTTGTCTTTTCAAATCTTCTGTCGCGTGTCATATTTTTCGAGTCGACTCGTGAGGTTTATGTTTCACGCTTCAGAAATGTGACGTTATTTCCGGTAAGGGAGCATAGTGAGCGCCGATGCGCCCTAGGCAGTCTGCTGTACATTTTAGTAAACAAGTTAAAAAGTATCACTTGAATAAGGAAAAGGCACTTATGACAGAATTAGACTTACTTTTGAAAAAAGATAATCTTACAGAAGATGAAAAAGTCAGATTGGAGACATTAAAAACTCAAATTGATCAGATATATATTAATACTGCAAAGGGGGCATTCATTCGTTCTAGAGCTAAGTGGTTGGAAAAGAACACAAGATTTTTTTTTTTCACTTGAAAAGCGAAATTATAAAAGACAAATGATCTCCTCTCTTAAAATTGATGATGTACTCACTTCGAATCCAAAATTGATTTAAAAATATGTGGAATAGTTTTACTCTCAGTTATATGAATCTGTGTTTGAAATGGATAAATGTTCTGACTTCTTTGCGTCAGTTAAGCAATCGGTCTCATCTATTTCTATTCAGTTTCGAGACCTGTGTGATGAAAAACTAAGGAAGCAAGAGATGGTTACAGCTATTCGTTCAATGAAAAAAAATAAATCGCCAGGCACAGATGGTCTTTCAGTTGAATTTTATCTCTGCTTTTGGGATATTATTGAAAACCCTTTATTTGAAATGTATAAGGAATGTATTGAATCAAATGAATTCTCGACTTCTATGAAACAGGGCTTAATAACCCTACTTCCTAAACCAGATAAAGATCATTTGATTTGGGATAACTGGCGTCCTATAACATTATTAAACGTAGATTATAAACTGTTATCTCATGTTTATGCAGTTCGTTTAAAAAAAGGTCTAGACGAAATCATAAATGAGTGTCAAACTGGATTTATTCAAATTTGGTGGAATCAGAGGCTTTAATTGTTTTTCTAGATTTCCATAAAGCTTTTCACACAATTGAGCATCAGTTTATGTATAGGGCATTAAAATCTTTTGGTTTTGGGGAAAGATTTGTTTCTATAATTGAAATGTTTCATAGAGGTATTAATAGTTCTATTAATTTATATCCAAACACTTCTAAAAGATTTCCCATTTGTAGAGGAGTGCATCAAGGATATCCTATATCCCCTGTTTTATTCCTTATTGTAGTAGAGTTTCTTTCCATAAAAGTTTTGAATTCTCCAATTATTCAAGGAATTACCATCTTCAATAAACAAATTAGATTGACTCAGCTTGCGGATGATACTGTTCTTTTCTTGAAAGATAAAGAACAGTTGTCCGCAGCATTGCAGTTAGTAAACAGCTTTTCTGTTGCTTCTGGAGAATATTATTCTGTGATAAACGCCATTCCCACAGGTTTATTGATCTTAATGAGAAGCCATATGTTGTCCCTTAACATTTGTAGAATGGGGTGGACATTAACAGTAAAAAATGCACAAATAAATTTATTAGAACTCTATTTTATGAAAAGAGATCTATTAAGCCTAGAGGGAAATTTTTCTGGAACATTTGTTTTCCAGAGATTATTTGGAAAAAAGCTTGGCTTCTTCCCTTTCGGTTTTGTATATCTAACAAACTTCGGGAAATACATCTGAAAGCACTTCATAATATTTATGTTAGTAACTATACTTTATCAACATTTATGGATATTGATGAAAAATGTTCATTTTGTTCAGATCAGCCAGAAATAATTCTACATCTTTTTTTTTTTAATGTTACCATTCCAAAAAATTCTGGGAAGATTTATCTATATATATTCAACAGAAATCTGGATATAATTGTGAATTAACATCCAAAGATGTTATCTTATATTTTTAATAAAAAAATGCATCTGTCAATTTTATGATGAATCTAATGATTTTAAATATTTTACATTTATCTGCATATTTTTGATATTAACCTCAGGATGTTATTTACTTTTATAAAGGCCATGTCAAATTCTTACAACTGATCAATAGATTCAATTTACACTAAGGCTGTTATCAAACAAATTATGAGCCTAAATAGCGCATACACTGTCCATTACCAATCGCTGTTTACGTTGAATGTAATAAAATCAGAATCATTCTTGCGTTTCGACGCTTCACTGATTATTTTTAGCCACTTAAGTTTTAATCAGGCTTTTTGTCTGGTCGGGCAAGTAAAATTCTAGAGCCATTTTTCAGTAAACTTGCATTAACCCATTTTAAACTAGCTAGGAGGCTGGTCAGCTAACTGTAGCAGTAACTACAGCGGGGGGGAAATCTGTCTGTCCAATGACTTTAAAGGGGTCATCGGATGCCCATTTTTCACAAGTTGATATGACTCTTTAGGGTCTTAATGAAAAGTCTATAACATACTTTGGTTAAAATTTCTCAATGGTAGTGTAAAA